CAGCTAACGCGGCAATTTACGACTTCATAAAATGTGATTTCACGCGCCGGCAGTCAAAGGGTTAAGTTGTTGACGCGGCGCAAGGAATTTGCCCAACTTTTGTATATTTGATTCGCTTTCTGTTTTCATTACTAACATAATTTGATGACTTCAGAATAAGTTTTATTATAAATTCTTGACTGACAACTGTACAGGATGTTATGAAAAAAATGTTAATATATATAAATACTATATAATCTTGTTTTATATAAGATCATCAATATACGTCTCTACTGAGGAGTTCAGAGCCTACTCTAAGTTTGGGGTCATTAGACTATAGTCAACTACGTTAGCCCACTGCAGGTTAACTTCATACACATCGCTGAATTTCTTAGCAGATCACGATGTTACACATCACCGTAAAATCATCGGATCAATGTACATAACTAAACCGAATATTGAAAAACACATTGGTACATAGCGAGATTTGAACCCATGCAGATTACATGTCATAACTACTGAACCACCAACGCTTGTTTTGTATATAAAGATATACAAATTAGCTACAAATGTGTTGTGTACTTGTAAATATATTTTGCGACGATGATATATAAATGGCATTTATTACTCACGCTATGAAATATCTTACAATTCCGAACTCATATATGTATGTCAATCGGTAAATAGAATACATTCTCGTCTTTTATTACTTTCACGTACGAACACATAAAGTTGGTCGTAGTTTTATGTAAAGAATAAAGTATTGTTATGTACTTTTTTACTATTTGTTTCGGATGGGCTCAATGTGTTTCACAGTGAAGTAAAAAAGATCCTACTATATTTTATCAATATTTTTTCCGTCTTTTATATAATGTTTTATTTTGTGTATAATAATCATAATAGATTTTAATAAATGAAAGTTTATGACAAAGTACTTTTTCGGCTACTTAACTTAATGACTTAAACCTTAAACTTAACTTTGCAAGTTTACATTATAAGGCTTAATTTACTTTCAATCAACTTTTAACTTAGGGAACTGTCTGATTACTTTTAACTTAACGTATTAAATTACTTATTAACAAATCCATATGCTTTTTAACTTTTAAACACGGTGATATCATTAGATCTATAGCGTACAGTAAAAGCGAATGTTGCAATCAAAGAGCTCGTCTCCATTATCCGGGATTAGGACACATGGTCACTCCCGACACGTCCGTCTCTCACAGATAAGTATACTTTGTTACAAAAACATCACGTACTTTAACTAGTAGTGTGTACAGAGTGTAAAACTAAAATTAAGATTAAGTTTCTCATTTTTGACGATATAATAAAAGTAAAAATATCTCAAACATTCAAGCCAATGATGTTTTCTTGATTTATTTTTGTCAACTTGACATGGTCTTGCTTCGCACAGGTGATAGGAAATGTACGTCTGATATTCCTGTCAATATATTAGGTGCGCAACTAAGTTCTCTTGTTTATCAGTAGATGGCTCTAGCAGTAAGAGCTGGTCGATTTTGACATATCCAAAACGTCATGAACCAAGCTTAGACATATGGTAAACAAAGCGTTGCGACACATGAGTGATTTTGTTTTCGCATTATATACTTCTGGTCAAGTTAATATATAACTCAAAGAAGTATTATAATGGTGAATGAAACCTTGAAATCGATTAAGTAAAATCCAAGTTAAGTTAATTCGTTACAAGCAAATAGTAACACCAAACAAATATCTCTACAAAATAATCTAATAGAGATACTTTGTACAAATAAAATTAAGAATATATTTCAATCACTGATCAATAGCTAAATCCAGCGAAGCGAGCTTTAATCAGACAACAGACGGACGGCTCGAGGTTTATAGAAGTCGGACTTTACCTAACACTTGGTTAACATGTTTTATTCAAAATTGTTGCGCTACAGTTTCTATTTTAAATGATAGAAATAATTAAGTTGCAACTAAATACGATGAAATTGTCCCAGATTTTATTGAAATATTATATATACTTTTGATTATATACATAGATTTACTTCACAAATACTACATAAGCAGTTAGAATTTGATAGGTTTAGATTACTTGGAATCGCTATAATTGAGTTTTTATTTATTAAAAACTTACTATCATACTAATATTAAAAATATGAATGTTTAGATGTTTGTTTGAAGGTTTCTTCAGAACAGCTGCATGGATCTTGCTGAAATTTGGCACACATGTAGAACATAATCTGTAGGAACACATAGGTTACTCATAATTTTTTTTTTTACATTCCGCGCGAACGAACAGCTAATTAAATTTGTGAAATGTGAGTATTTGCATAATATTGAATTACTTACTACTCACATTTCACAAATTTAATTTACAATGTTAACAATGTTAAAATATGGACGGATATGTTGAAAGTCTATCTCTATTATTCTAAGTTAGCGTATTACAGGTTACCTTGTTCGTGATGATAACATTAGATCAAGTAACCAATATGTCAAGTACAAACAAAGGAATAGAACACACAAAGCTCTCTACTCTAGGATTACTTGAGCCCTGTCTCAATAAGAGCACGTATCGTAATTCTCTTTGTCGAGTACATTGAAGGAAAAGGTTATCCATATATAACAAAAGAGGATTTAATAATATTAAAGTTGTTTCTAAATAATTTTAATATTATTTACTTATTTATTTAATTTTACTTTAAGGTAAGCTAAGTCATCTTGTGAGATTTTTTTACGAACATTAGCTGTCGCTCGCGAGTTCGTCCGCTTAAAATTAAATAAAAATTAATAAGTACGCTATGTTTTTGTCCATATGTTTTACAAATGTGACAAATTTATCAAAATCTCAATGTATCAACGCCGTTCCGAAGATACCTTCTAACAAACAGCCATCCATTCATACATTTGCATTTATAATATTAGCAAGATAGCTCTAGCTCCTCTCGGTTATAGATTCAGATCGATAACCAATAAAAGCGTTTAAACATGTTTTCAATTATTGATTTAATATTTTGTAAAATTGGTAGCAATACATTTAAAGGACATAATCGCAATTTGTTATTTAATTTATCCGAGACCTTTATTTGCCTTTTAGATTGGGAATCCGGATTTCAGTGGCGGAATGTACTTCATTATATTTACGGCCCTTTGAGCGCCATCGAATCAATTCCCTTTGTATCTATTATAATGCTTAATAGGAATGATCAGATCCTAACTAATGGTCGACGAGATTCAAGAGATTTATCCTCTTTGGATATAATATTGAGGTTAATACTTTGTATTAAAGGAAACCGACGTAATGTTTCATCATCATCTCACTGTCCTTGTCACACTTTTATAGGGTAGGTGCAACAGATTTCCGTCCTCCAAATCAATCTATCTATCAACATCTTCTTAATCAAGTCATCTTTCACGCAATCCATCCATCTCTTCCTATACCTACATCTACCGGCGTACTGCTCCACCCTTACTTTATGTTCTCCTTGGCACATGTGATTCTTCCCTCCTCATAACCTTCACAATTAACCTTTTACTTCTCAATTGTTCTAGTACGGCTTCTACTTTCAGACTTGATATAATATTTGACACTTGAATTTATTTATCCTAGTACTATGTTTTGTTGTGTATGTTTCTTAACTATAATTTAAAGCTTACCTAAAGATAAAATTAGCTATAAAATTAAATAGATTTCCAATGATTAGTTCCAAGAAGTACGAGGTATAATGGATTTAATCCTGTATTGCGACATTCGGATTTTCACATGAACATGTTATTCGTAGCTTATTTTATTTTTTTATCCAAGACTGAATTTTCTGATTACTTTTTATTATTTTCAAATGCATTGTATGAGATATATGTTGTGAATTTCTATTATTCAAAGTTGCATTATGACCCAGCTAACGTGACAATGTTGTGGGATCATTTTTTTCATTAGCTCGGATAACACTGGCCGTACAGACTAATCTGTACCGAACGCTCCGGACATTATTAAAGCTAGTACAAAAAAATTCAATATGAATTTTTATATTACTTTTTTTGTTTAATTTTTTTTTCTTAACTTAGCATGCAGGTCAGATATCTGCGAATGCGACACCATTTTGTTTTAAGTTTTGTATTATCATGTACTTCATGACTTTTGGTTTAAAACCTTTTAATGAAATGCGTATTTCGTTTGGTTAGTTCGAGTTGCCATTTTCAAACATTACAAGCTTCTGTTCGTGCGCCCATCCTTAAAAAAACACATTAAATAGCCTATGTCTTCTTTCAGACTATGTTTTACGTCTGTGCCAAATTTCAGTGAGATCCCTTGAGCTTTTCTGGAGATACCTTCTAAGACATTTCCTTTAAACTTTTGCATTTATAATATTAGTTAAATTTTCTGTTCCTTATTTTAAAATATAAAAAATGAGGAAACTCACCGAGCGCAGTTTTATGACACGGCAATATCATACCCCTTGTGTACGTTTAAAACGATAACACCTCATAACACGTTTTATGTTAATTTTGTTTAACGTACTGAAAAGCGACACATAATGTGAACAGTACATAAACCCTTTACTGTTTTTATGACATCAGTTTAAATATTAAACATTTCTTCAGCGAAGCTAAATGAGAGTTATTTTGTTTATTTTTACGGCAAGATAATGACCATAATTCACATCAGTCATCGTAGACACCCGCAATTACAGATGCATTGCCTATCTGTTTTATATTAAAAGGTGGCAAACGAGGGAGTGGCCACTTGAAATCGCTGAAAAAGCAAAGCGACCGTTGCCCATAGACATACGCAATTGTAGATGCCTTTCCTTCCTTTAATGGACGGGGATGGGGATACACAGAAAGAGAATATCTTCCCTTCCTATGCGTCCTTCATCTTATAAGGAAGAGTATACTTAGAAATGTATGTATTTTTGTTGGTTATAGAATACCTTGGCAATACTGGATAAATTGGATATCGACAGTGAGAAGCCTTCAGAAGAAGAGATCGCCAGACTGTTTGGATACGAGGAGGCATATCTCTCAGGAGAGCTGGGCATCTGGCAAAGGATCAAACCTAAGATATGGGCGCTGTTCGATGAGCCATCCAGTTCACCCACCGCTAAGGTATGTAAAATATCAATATAGTGCGACAAGTTTTTCTGGCTCGGTGATAGAAGGCCGCGGGCCAGATAAATTTGTTGGACTATATGTGTTTTAATTTTTGATTTTCAAAAGCTTTATATCAGTTATTAAAAAGTTTAGTTAAAATATTTTTTGAGATGAAAATACACACACGATATGCAGAGAAACGCTATTGCTGGAATTCAATATTTCAATCCCCAACGTATTGGAAAAGAGTCGAAAAGTATTTGTGCCTCTGAGTATTGAAAAATATTTGTAGGGCAAAATTAACGAAATGATTTCTTCATTTTATAAAAAAATATAAGATGTTTAATATAAAGTGTAATAACCGATTCCTCACTCCGTCTTTTTAAACCACAACTAAGGGCTGCCCTAATTACAGATTTAGTAAATTAAATCTATACTAACGATCTGCAAAAGTAAATCCAAAACGATCACTAAATGCTCGTATCTTAATGGATCGTGACCTGAATTTATAAAAGTTTTAAAAGCATATAAAATATGAGTTGAAAAAGTATTTTAAGCTCAATGCGATTGTCGCGATAATAAACGGATAGATGGCGTTAAACCGGAGATGAGAACCATTTCAACGACAATTAGTCGCACACCGCGCTATTTCATAACGGAACTTGTATTGATCTGTGATTTTGTACAACAAAAGATAAGTAAATCGTTTTGGTAGAGAAAATAACTCGCATAACAGGAGAAGGGTTTTTTTTTATCATTACAAGCAACTTTCAGGTCTATAGTTCTTCTGTATTAAGTAATTTTCTCATAATTGTCGTGACTCTACTTGGACCAAAAAGGTGGTCTCCTTTTGAAAACTTGATTTTATTAAATGTTTTTATGATTTCACAATTTAATTTAATTTTTTTATAATTTATACTATATACGGAAATAATTAAATATAATAGTTTAAAATAATTATAAAATTTAATACTCTATTTGTAGTTCAAAAGTGGGACAGGAATTTCTATATTTGTCAAGCTCATGTAGCATTAAACAAAATTAATTAACCCAATGAAACATAAAATGCATTATCAAAATTTAATTTATTACTCGACAAATTGTACAGTTAACAAAACAAGCACCGTCCGCTGTTCGCAATAAATAAAACAAAACACGCGCGAATTTCTCTAAATATTTATACGCCGTAGTAATTTGACAAATCGTGTTCTGTAAACAAAAACATTGTGACGCAAGAGAAAAGATATTAAAAAATAAAGAATATACATATCCCGAACGATTGGGAAGGGGAATTGGATCTTCCGAGGAAGGGGAATGGACAGAATTTTTTTTACGTCATCTCTTATTTCAGTTAAAGCCTTATGAATATTATTGTCTATTTCTTCTTCTCAATTTTGCCTATAAAAAGGATTGAGAATTTGAAGGAGGATTGGAAAATTTTTTATCTACTCAAAAAATACTTCTATGGTATAACTTACCAAAAATATACTTCGCTTTTGACTTGGACTGATATACATATAGTATATAGAGCTATATGCAATATAGTGATTGATGACAGATTTCTGTTCATGAAACTTGATGTTTTATTGAAAGAGGAAAAAACAGGACGAAACTTTCAACCGATTATGTAAACGAAGTTAACCCAATTGTTCCTAACATTAAAAACATATTAGAGTCAAAATTATGAACGTTTTGCCCTTAAAATTAAAAATATATCTCATTAATAAATCATTTAGTTATATCGTTTGAAATGTTTTCTTTAATATTTAAATATTCACTGACCCGTAATTTCGTATGTTCTTACAATTTGTTCTCTAGACTTTATATAAAACTCTTATCAGTTCACGCTACATTAACTTCCATTTTACATCTACAAAGATATAAAAGTATTCCCTAATATTAACTTTACAAGTCTTTTAATTTATTTTAATGATTTCTTTTACATCTACAAATATATAATGTAAATATACACCTTTATCGTAGAATTCCAGTGACACTTGATCTAACACATATTGTCATCCCTTTTCATTCTATATAGAAAGAGCGAGACAACATGTATTGTTTAACCTTAATTTGATACAGCACCATCTATTGGTGGCATTTTGAAACAAAGATTTTAAAATTTTAGAAAGTTTTCTACAGTAAATGAATACAATATTGTTTCAGGTGATATCTGCAATATCGGTGTTCTTCATCTGCGTATCAGTATTGTGCTTCTGTTTGAAGACGCACCCTGACCTTCGGGTGTCGGAGCCCTTGCTCGAGGAAGATGATGTGAATAACTCGACAGCGGACTTGGAGACCAGGCCCGCGTGGCTCGACAACGGACAGCCGCATGTCGCCTTCTTTTACATTGAACTAATATGCAATGTTTGGTTTACTATTGAACTATTAGTGCGGTCTGTGGTAAGTGTTTGAGATTTATTTATATGTTATCTGTCGCCCGCGACTCCTTCCACGTAGTTACAACTAAAAATAGGTAAAAATGTTCAAGGACGAGCCACATTTTACACATTCGGCATGAGAGAGAGAGAGAGATGGAAGATATACTTAAGTAGAGTGAAGGAGAGCGTCGTTCCTCGTTACTCGTTCCTTGTTAGTAGTTTAGAGTACATTTATTTCAGTAATCATTTAATTAAAAATAATATTATAATAATATATTTTTTTATTTGAAAAAGTCAAGCTGTGCTTTGAAGAATCGTACATACGGGATTACATGTTTCCCTACTCAGTCAGAGTTCGCAAATAAAATTGGTCTCTCGTCTATCCACTCATCGGATTACTTTTAAAATATCTATAGTATTTTTCCAACTGAATATAAAATTCGATAATAAAATAATTACATACTTTATATAATGTTTATTTGCTATTTATAAACATTACACCCTGTATGTAATGTTTATTTGTTATTTATAAACAAATGGGTAAAATTTTTAGGAACGTTACACTTATTTTGGTTCATATTTTATGTTATAGAGTATACGTATATTTAATTGTACTTTGAATCCAATAATAATACAAGAACAAAAGTATAATAACTTAAAAGCAGAACATTTTTTATTAAAACCTACTTAGATTTTAACCTGAGTTGAAATTTAATTTCGCTAACTTAATAATGATGAAAAAAAAATATTGAACTCAGTCTTATCTAACTGTAGCATAAGTCACATCACATTAAAGTTTCAAACAACATTTTTTAGAAACTATTTTTGGCAAATATCCAACATTGCGAATTAGGTAATATATTCCAAAGCTAAATCAGGTCAGCAGAGTCTATCTTCGTAAATGTAAAGACATGTTACAACTCTACTGCCGTTAAAGGAATGCATAATTGTATTTTCATCCTTCTCCATCCCTTTGAAAAGAAAAGAGATAACAAACACGTTATTTTCGATATCTCGGCAATGAAAACGAACAATCACAAAACAATTAATATCATCCATATTGAATTTCTTATCTTCCATTCTCAGAATATATCTTATTTTTAAACAATGAAAGATTCGATGATTCGAAAGCGTCTCACTTAATTAAAAATTGATTGCAAAAAGAATCGACTTTCATTGAATAAGAAACTTTTGCATCACAAAAGACGAAAGAGGAAATTTATTAGCAACTTTTAACGTCAACTTTTGAACGAAAAAAATTGTGGCTTTATTTACTGCACGACTGACCATGAATGGGAATTAAACTCACTGAGTCCTTAACAATTTCAGTCGTTTCATTCTCGCCAGACTAGTCGTAGTTATAAGGTAAAAGTGCCGTGTTCTTTACTATACGCTTTCTATCCTCGAAAATTTCAACTTTTTTGTACGCATATGGAAGGAGACGTCCACGTGCTCTCACTTGATATGTCTACGTCATGAGGCATTTGCCTTATGTCCTCGTGCCTGACACTATTGCTTCCATCATTAACCATTAAATGAACAAAATAATTGCGTTTAAATACTTGACTGAAGGACGTAAGATTCGATCATAGATCGTATCATATCGATTAGTAATTTTTATGTAGATTGATTTTATGTAGATTGATATTCGTCAGGAAAGGAAAACCGAATTTTGTTGTTTTATATTGTTAGGAAGAAAATCCTACACTGCCGGTGTATCGGCGCAACACTAGCCTTATTAAAATATCAACGTTTATGTCCCCTCACTAATCAATCTGACACTTGAATTGGTAACTCGCGAATTCGCGCCAAAGTATCCTAACTAATAATATCTAAAAGGTACTTTATGTGTTTCAGTTTATTCTTAAATAAAAACTAAAAACAATGTTTTCTTCTTAGTACTTTACGTACGATTGAGTCATCGTAATATTACAAGAAATAGAGTGCCTTATTCTAGTCTTTTTATAAACAGTTTTCGTAACAGTCAAACAACCCTCAAGGATATTCAATTTTGTAAATCAAATACAATATCGTGTTGATACGTTTCGAGGAAATACGCCTGTTTGTTTGTATATTTACATATAGAAAATAAGTTAACGCTTTTTTGAAATGAATACATTTTTATTTTTATTTATCTTTATTTTATTTATTTAAAATTTAATACAAAAAAAATGTCGTAAAAAAATTATTTCTATATTACAATGAATTATTTTTTAAATTAAAATTATTACTGCGCTGATTAAGTTCATAGCAAAGGCACTAGCTATCACACGCGACACCGTCCGCGCGGAATTAAAAAAAAACTTATTGAGTTCTGTGTTACCATGTTCTACATCTATACCCAATTTCAGCGAGAATTATACAGCCGTTCTCGAGATACTTTCTAACAAACATACATCCATCCATCCATCCAAACATTAGCATTTATAATATTGGTAAGATTGTTAAGTTTCTTAGTTGTATTATTATCTATCATGAAATATTTTTGTCAGAAACAAAAAAATCCAATAATGTACTCGCACGGAGTATCCGACATCATAAGAGTACCTGAAATTTTTCAGATTGTCACGTCCACGCGTCCTTTTATTTATTGCAAACACCTTGTGAAATATTATGTCAATACGGCTTCTACTTACGTAACTTATAAACTAAATTACTATTAAAAAAACTAGCAGTCGCCCGCGACTCCGTTCGCACGGAATTAAAGATAAACTTAATTAGTAGCCTATGTGTTCTTTCAGATTATGTTCTACATCTGTGCAAATTTTCATGAAGATCCTTCAAATAACCATCTATCCATACATCTAAACTTTCGTATTTATAATATTAGTAAGAATTAATAAGATAATAACATTGTATAATATAAATAAATTAAAACCAAAACTAAGAAATAGTCTGATATAGAATTTCTCATTAGTTCCATTCCATTAAGCGTCGGTGGCTCAGTGGTCAAGCACTTGACTTGCAATCTGCAGGTCCTGGGTTCGAATCCTGCCATGTGCCAATGTGTTTTTCGATTTCCGATTTACATATGTACATTTATCCGACGTTCTTACGGTGAAGGAAAACATCGTGATTCAACCTGCTCATATCTAAGAAGAAATTCAAAGATATGTGTGAAGTCAACCAAGCCGCACTTGGCCAGCGTGGTTGACTATGGCCTAATCACCCTTAACTTAGGGTAGGCTCCGAGCCCCTCGATAGGGACGTATAGTGAGCTGATGATGATGATGATATTGATTAATTCCATTAAAATCTAATTCTTTGCACTTTCTATACAAACACTAAATATATTGCGAATATCGCTTTGAGGAAGTTTAATACAAGAATGGTGAAAATGTTTTCGATTTATAAAAACTTGTTTGTTTTTGTCGATCAAAATTTATAAGGTTGTTTTTTGATCAAAAGACTTACCTTTTCTTTGATTTATAGCTTCAAATTTCTATCCAATTCTGTTTAATATAAAGTCTTATTTTTATCACTCGAATATCTTTTATTTATTATTGCAAGCGAAAAAAAAACTGACAAAAATGTCAGTTCTTTGGCATCATAGATCGTAGTTCTTACTAATTATAAATGCGAATGTTTGGATGGATGGATGAATATTTGTTATAAGGTATCTCCAGAACAGTTGCATGGATCTCGCTAAAAGGCATAGATTTGGAACATAGTCTGGAAGAACACATAGACTACTAATAATTTATTTTTAATTCCTCGCGTACGGAGTCGTGAACGACAGTTAAATAAATTACCAAAAATCCGCTAAAATTTTTATAAAAAAACATTCACATCTAGTGTTTTAAGTCGTAATTCAGTACATCATCACAACCTCCACATAACATGCACACGCAACATAATAAAGCCTATATCTTACAGATTTCAATAGCTTTGCTAGCAAATCGAGGGCCCTTTGTTTCTTCAAACTAAGCATAGTGACTGGAGAAGCTCTTCTACTCGACACGTATACCTTTTCTATCGAGAGGTCGTGTTATTAGGTCAAAGCGAAGTATAAAAATATACTCGTCCCACCAAGAAAAGTTTCTTTACAGTTTTTGCGTAAACTTGTTAACTAGATCCCTTACTTGTTGTAGCGATAATTGGCTTGTCTTCAACAACCAAGTATAAAGTTATTCTAAAGATTTTGTTACTCTGTACTAAGTTTGGTACTCCGTTAATATTTACATTTATTTTTACTAATTGTTGCCAGCGAAAATGATCTTAATTGGTACCCTACGTGTCCTTCTAGAAAATATTCTAAATCCATGCCTGATTTCATTAGGATTCGTTGAGCCGTTATGGAGATATCTTCTTATAAACATCCATCCATTAATCTAAACTTTCGCACTTATTATATAAAGTACGATGTAGAATAACACTAACGTATTTAATATTTATGATTTCATATTATATTTTTAAATTAAATAGGTCATTCAAAAATATTAGGAAGTTTTGTCCACAAGCCGCCGACACGCATAGGTCTCCCATTCATATAAATCCAGAGAACTTTCCTGAATTTGCATTTACAAAATAAAACTTGTGCGCAACATTGACCCAGTTTGCGATGGAATATAAATGTTAGAAGTAATAATTTTTTGCGCAAACTTCGAGGTCGAATGTGTAACTATAAAAAATAATGGTCTCTGAGTTGAAATTTCGTTTTGAAATAATCATTTTTTTAAACTGATTTCCTTATTATTAACTCATCATCATCATCAGCTCACTATACGTCCCCATTGAGAGGTTCGGAGCCTATCTTAAGTTAGGCGTCAACCATGCTTACCCACTACGGGTTTGTTTACTAATACGTAATTTTTTAAACCAAAGACAAAAATTAAGTTACTTTCTATTCTAAAAAAAATGGTCTTCATAGACAGACGGAAGGACAACAAAGTGATTCTATAAGGGTTCCGTTTTATTCCAAAGAGGTACGTAACCCTAAATATAGGATAAAAGTTATTTGCAAACGTTTTAAGAATTAAAACAAATGAATGTCGAAACAAAAGAGGTCCTAAATTAAGTTTT